GAAAACCGTAAATAAAGGGATGCCGTCATTGCACAAATTATAATCCGTAATATCCGTCCGTCTGTTAAAGAAACGCTTTTGGGCTTTTACCGGGTTAATTAAAAAAAAAACATCTCTTTTCCGCATCGTTTTACATTTTCCTCTTATACCACTGTATGAAATTTGATTAAACTTTCACAGAATCTTTACTACATATTGCCATTGTGCACCTTCTATTTTACTTTTTGATCCGACACATATTTTGGGTTTTCCATAGCAAAACATGGACACTGCCATTTAAACACATATGGGAGGCGGGGGTATCACTTAGTGAGCACATTGCTCACAGTACCTCTAGTTTTTTTTCAGCATTGAGTGACCCCTCAAATCAAAGCAATCAAGTTGACTTTAATTGGGTTAAAATCCCAAGATGCATGTCAGATTCGTTTTCGGCAAAATGCGTCTTTCTATACATGAAAATTATAGCGAAAGTATGGGGATTTCAGACTTCTTACTGGCTTTATAATACACAAAATTTATCTTCTTGATAAATTTCAATTGACAAGCTATTTTGTTAAGAAAGATACTCCTTATAACAAGTATGAGTCTCAGTTTAGTACATCTTCACAATTTTTATGCAAGTCTGCAAATTAAGGAACTTGTAATTTTTTCTGCACTGCTTTCTTCTCTTACCGATTCTAAAAAAAATATTTAGAAGGATGTACCTAAATATCATGAATTAAATACTTTTCAACAAGCTTTTAACTTATAAGAACTGAAGTAAACTGTATTCATTGTCTTTTATTTAAATTAATTTAAATATGCATCATTCCATTTAATTTTAGAAGTTTTGCAATTGCCTTTAAACAAGTCAAAATGGAGCATACTTATACTCATTTTGCTGTCTGAGAAGTATAGCATTTTATGTGAAGAGAAATTGTTGAAAGAGAAAGTCGAACGAATACAACAGAACTTTTTGACACCGAGTGGTTCACATGATATAATATCTGATTATACGTTGTGTATACAAGAATTCATAGACAAGGATAAAATACTGACAATAAATAGAGAGAATACACTAGAGTTTATATCAGAGGATATCCGCCATCAGGTGATGGGATACTTTGTTCTGAACTGTTTAAAATCTAATGAGGATTACAAGAACTATTTCAAATTATCATCATTTGACTCGGTGTTTGATTATGTCCGTACCATAGACTATGTACAGGTCGAGGGGGTAAAAGTAAGAAGATTTTCATACTTACATAAGGAAATGAAGGATTCCTTTGTAAGAGAGTCTGGAAGAAAATATAGAGGTAAAGGAGAAAGATGCTTATACTTACCAACAGAAATGGAGGAGACCTTTGTAAGAGAGTCTGGAATTGACATCTTACGACACGTCACAGTAGCAGAAGAAAGGATAAAAGATTTGGTGCTTAATATGTGTAAGTTTTTCATAGAAGCTTTTATAAAAAGGTTTCGATTTCTTAGCAAAATTCTTCAAATGATTAAAATTATTCCTAAAGAATTCTATCTGTCACAAAAGAAACGATTCATACATACCCTACTTTGTTCTATGTTTGCTTTTGACAAATATAGACATATGTTGAAATGTCATTTGATGCAATGAAAAAATAAGGAGATAAAACAATACAAAAACAGGAGAAGAGCAAACAGGGACCTCCAAAACATCAGAGGTGGGATCAGGTGCCATGGAGGAGTGAGCATCCCCTGCTGACCGGTCACACCCGCTGTGTGCTCCCCGTCACGATTGGGAAACAACGGGAAAATCCGTCGTCAATTCAGTGTACGAGGGGTGTTAGAAAAGTTCGCGCTCGAAAAGTTAGAAAAGAAATTTGTGATATTTTACCTGTCGCAAAAGTATTTATGAATCGTCTTTAGGAGAAATTTTGAATTAAATTGGAGGGTATACAGTGTATGACTGTTTAAGAGCCATTTATAAATGATCAATGCGTAAAAACACAGCCAAAATTCGGAACGTTATTGAGCATCATGGAACACTACACTAGGTAAAAATATGTGTGGAGACAGGAAAATGTCTAAAATGAGATTAAAATGTTCAAGATGCTGCCGGGAATTTCCTACACATACAAATGACAAAAGTTTTCAAATGCCTGTAGCTTCATGAGAATGTTAGGATTAAAATTTTGAATGATTAATTCCATCGATACCTCAATACCCCTTATTGCTTGGACGTTGTGCCTATATGGTTTTGCATAGTTTCCATACCTGATCGATTAACTGCCTCTATTAGACTTTTTAAAAAAAAGATCTCAATAATATTCGAATCAGTACAAAAGACATTTTAGTAGAAAAGTAACATGTCTTGATATGGATATTCAATTATAAAGTAGAAAACAAATAAGGAAAATCCGAAAAAAATGAAAGACTTAATGAACTGCAACAAAGCTTAACGGGTAGAAATCTCGTTGTCACCACGCCTTACGCCATGTGATTGCTCCGTGAATCCCATAACATCATAGTAAAAGTCCTTGTAAATTTTCATAATTTTAGTAAAGGGATCTGATTTTTTACATACTAATAACCAAAATGTAGGAATTCATACAGACATATGTCATACTTCACAGTACACAATAGAGTTATCGTAATTCAATGTGTCCGCGAATTTTCATGACAACCCTCGTATAAATAATGGACTAACAATTGGTATGAAAAACGTCAGTCAGCATTTGACTCAATGATAAATTGTATGTGCTGACATAGAACTTTTGAAATGATGACTTTAAACGAGACTGCTGCTGATCGTTATTCTTGTTTTATCAACTTGTTTGTCAATAATTTACCTCGATTTAGAAATTGTTCATACGCAGAGCAAGCTCTTGCGTATATATATAAGAAAAAAATGTCTGGAATAGTATACATTTTTTGCCTATTTGTGTTATAACTGATTAAAATTATGATTTTCTAAGATATTATGTAATTATAAATCTTCTTTGGTGTTCAGAAGTATTTGTAGCCATCGTTATTGATCTCGATAAATTTTTATCACTGGAATTTCATTATTGTGAAACTCTGAATGAAAAATTAAATACTACGCCGTTAATTTTTTTTTTAATCATAGAAAACAGGATTCAAATTGTAAATTTGTTTGACAGAAGTTTGTTTGTCCTTAAATGATCTTTTCAGAAGATATAATCAATAAAAACAAATAAATTCTTTATGCTGGTAAGTTTAATTTCTGTTCATTTTTTTTCTTTACTTTTACGTCTTAATTACTTTATGCTTTATTTTAAGTGATTTAATGTTTAAGTTCTTAAAGGCTATTGACAGAAACACTTTTGTTTTCATTCTTTCAGTAAATATTCCAAGGGAAATTCTTAGATGGGACTACGATGCAAGGTGCAGGTATGTAGAATGTGCAAAGAAAGGGACGCAAACGATCCACAGGGCCCGTGCTATGATTGTAGGTTGTGCTGGTGCTGGAAAAACTACCCTGCTAAAACGACTACAGAAGAGATCTCTTGATGAATTACGACAGGTTCAAAGTACAATAGGCCTAGAAGTGCATGAAGATTTATTTGGAATTTTTGAAGAGAAATATTTTCTAAAGGGTAATTTAATATAAATATGTATTATCTTCATTCAAAATGAAGAAGAAAAATGTAAATTTAAATAATATTCTTTGGCCCTCTCCTGGTTCCAAAAAAAAAAACGTTTTTACATTATGGGATATTTTTTCTTTCGATTCCTCTCATCCAGTCAACAAATATCTTGAAATTTCTGATAAATATTAATCTCCAGGAGGGCAAGCAATTATTATTTTTAAAATGGTCTATTATATCATAATATGATCTACATACATCTTTTTAAGATCTACCGATATAGCATAATTACTTTATTTGTCAATTTTGGTATAGCTATTGATGTCTGGAATTTTGAATATTGATTTGGGTTCAGATCTTTCCATTCCAATATCTAGAGATATTGAACCCTTTATATAAAATCATAAATTAATAAATATCAGATATATAAATTAAATTGACACAAGATAACATAAGGAAAGACGTACAAACTTTGAATATATTTTATCAAAACTTTTATATATCATTCGATGAAGAAACAATACTATTGATCAATTAAAATATTTACATTTGCAAATATCTTACTTAGAAAAACATATTGAAGAGAAAATACGTTCAATTCTGATTGAATTTCATTTTGGGGTCAGAAGTCATAGCGCGACCGGATCACAGAGCGATGAGATATTTTGGCCACAGAGCAATACGTTGGCGCGTTCGTGTAATAAATACAATTAAACTCGAAATTTATTCGTTTCAAATGTAAAAAATATAAATAATAAACCACAATGTTAAAAAGTTCACTGGGAAATGATCTTTTAGTTGGTACGTGATCAAATCTACTGAGAAGCCCTTCGAGCTTCACAGGATTTGATCACGTGACCAACTAAAAGTTCATTTCCCTGAGAACTTTTTAACATTGTTGTTTATTTCTTAAATGATATACTACTGACAAATTACAAATAATAGACTATCTATCAATGACGAATAATAAAAAATTCTTTCTATCACAATCACAATCTTTCTATCATAATCACAAATATATTTCCTAACTATATGATGGAAACTTTCAATGTGAGTTGAGGTTTCAACCAGAATTTAAGAATGTTACACAACAGAACTTTTTTCTCCTAGGGTCAGGTTTTCTGTATGAATATTTGCTTGAATAAATATCTTGTAATTCATGTAACAACTCTAAGAAAGTGAAGGAACCCTCTCTGAGTATTTCATTTTAGTATTGTTACAATGAGGGCATGTTAATCCATTCTCCTTATTAACATATAACTTTTACATGTCTCCGCATTTTTAATGTTTTATTATTTTCTAATAAATTATGAAATGCAAAAAAAATCAATCTATTGCTTTTCAATATACGCAATAAATTTTATGTTAGAATAAACCAGAAATTTGCTGAAATGTATGATGCAAATGTTTTCTACAAACATTTCTACAAAATTTAGCCGTTACAGAAGAAGCAGATAAAGAAGGGAAACAACTGTTGAGTGTCATGGATTTCGGAGGCCAGTGTGCCTACTACGCCTGCCATCAGGTGTATCTCAGCAGGAGGGCTTTCTATCTGCTGGTGATAGATATGTCAAAATCATTTGGTGGAAAAGTTGACCCAGCACTGTGTGAACAAGAGGGAACTATGTTTGCTGATTGGACATATGGAGGTAAGAGACAAATATTTCTCCAATCAAATTTATGACCCCATTGAAAAAGAAAACACAGTGCTTTGCACTTGTCGGTGGGTATTTCGGTCGGTAGATCAAGTATTATCCACTTGATATTTTGATAAACCTTCGGTTGACAGACATCAAAACTTGAACACTTGTACTAAGGAGTTTGAGGTCACAAGGGTAAAAGTCAAAGTGGAAATATCAAGACACTAATTGCTTATCATCTGACGAACCCTTTGCTTGACAGGCAGGTTTGTTGGTTTCGATTGAGAAGTAAATGACCACTGTAGATTGTTCGGTCATAAGTGAATGTGCAAAAGTCAAGTTTGACGAATAGCAAAAAAATGAGCACTCAAAATTTTCAATACCCTTTGCTTGATACACATAGAACTTTCTACATGTTTTCCTAGCGAATAAATGACAATTGTGGATTTACAAGTCACAATAATGCCAATCGCCAAGGATTAAAAAGGACATAGAAAAATATTGACTCATCAATATTTGAAAAACCTTGCAAAAAGTTTTGGTTTCGCGTGGTTAGATCTAGAGTAGCATATTAAGAAGTTGATCTCGTCGTTGGTTCGAATACCACTGCAGGAGATTGAGACCGGTCATAATCAGCAGACTTTTCTGAATGAGAGTAGAAAAGAAAGTCCATTAATAGGCCTTTAGAGTCTACACAAAGCATGCACTATATGCATATCAGCATACATGTACGACACACAAAAAATGAGAACTTCCTCAAATAGTGTGCTTATAAAACCCAGAGACACTTAAGTTTTTTTGTCAATCATTTTTTGAACCTAAGTCATCAATAAAATATATATACATTTGTGGTATCTTTCCATTATATAAACACACAGAGAGCAACTATCTTCAATTTTTATGAAGTTTGTCGGAGGTCAGTGGTCATTACATTTCCGAATCACACGGTGCAATAATATCTACCGGTACATAAATATCAAATGGCTTGCTCTACTTGCTTTTCATGTATAAAAAAAATGAACAACATAAGCAAGTAATAATTGTTTAATTTAAAACGTTAACAAATAATTTATACATTTTTCTCGGTCGATTTAACCTGTGTACATAGAGAATACTATCTTCAATTTTTATGAAGTTTGTCGAAAGTCAGTGGTCATTGCATTTCCAAATCACACGGTGCAATAATATCTACCGATACATATATATCAAATGACTTGCTCTACTTGCTTTTCATGTATACAAAAATGAACAACATATTATAAGCATGTAATATAATTGTTTAATTTAAAACATTAACTAGTAATTTATACAATTTTCTCGGTCGATTTCACCTGTGTACATAGAGAATACATTTGCATACCGATAAACATTAGCCCTAGCCTTTGTTTATAAGTTTTTTTTTCACCTTTGAAGTTTTGTCAGCTGCACAGTCTCTAACGTTTATCTTTATTTTTTGGTAGACCTTAAGTTAAATCTTCATAAGATAGCCTAAACTATAATTTTTTAATAAAATTCTACACACGATAAATGTGTAAATCTGTTTCTTGTGTCTTTACAGCATTAATTATCAATTTTCACAAATAAAAATATTCCCAGACAACAATTTGTTCATTATTACTGATCACAAAAAGCCTTTAACAAAACATTCTCTTCGAAATAGTATCCTTAGTATGACGAATTCGAAGCGTAACCGCGATTCAAGCCGATTTACACCTTTAGTACTTTTGTTGGAAATCTACGGCGACCGGTAATTTATAAGTGCAATATTTATATCCGCACATATTTAATTGTCAATCTCAAATGTATATATAAGTAATAAATAACAAGTTTATAAACTTCAATGGGAATTGAAGTGGGTCGGTACGTAATCAAATCTTCTGAGAAGGCCATCAGCCAATGTCTTGCCTTCGGCCTTCTCAGAAGATTTGATAAAGTACCGACCAATTTCAATTCCCTTTGAAGTTTATAAACTTGCTTTTTATTACTTATATATGCATTTGAGACAAACGATTGAATACTTTCGAACATAAATTATTGCACTAACCTTCCGTCGTAGACTTTCAAAAATGACGCAAGGTGTAAATCGGCTTGAATGGCGATTACGCTTCGAATTCAGCAGGCTAAGGATTTTATTTCTAAGGGAATATCTTGTTAATGGCTACCTGTGATCAGTAATAGTGAACAAACTGTTGTCTAGGAATATTTCCATTCGTGAAAGTTGATAATTGATGCTGAAAACAAAAGACACAAGAAACACGTCCGAAGATCGATGATAAAAAGTTGGAAAAAATTCGGTCGCCAGAAAAGGATGGATGATCCGATGGATGGAAACACTTGACAGTGCCATTTAATTTGCAATCAAGTATTTAAGATCTAAAACATTTAACCTACGATATCAATGACTAAAGGCATATTCATGATGTAAACAAGACACGGGGACACTAGCGAAAACTTGCATTGAACTACGACAGCGCCGAGGTGTTTGTCAGCTGTTCGTTGCTTGATTGCAATGCTTTGATATTTTCCGACAGATTTACACATTTTTCGTGAGTAGAATTTGATGAAGAAATTATAGTTTATCATGAAGATTTAACCAGAAGACTACCAAAAAAAAAAAAACAAGGATAATCGTTAGAGACTGTACAGCTGAAAAAAATGACATAAAACCTATCAACAAAAGCTATAGTTCTATCAGTATATTCTTTATGTATACACTGGTTAATTAGATAGCCAAAAAAAAAACTGTATAAAATACTTGTTAATGTTGTTAATAAAATAATTATTTTTTCACTTGCATATTTTGTTCATTTTTATACATGAAATGTAAGTAGAGCAAGTCATTTTATATCTATGCACAGGTAGATATGAGTGCGCCGTGTGATTAGGTCACGTATTGAACTCTGACCTCAGACAAACTTCATACAGAATTGACGATATTTGTTCTCCGTATGTTTATAAAATAGATAGATACCACAACTATATATATATTTCCTATTGAAGTTTATAAACTTGTTAATTAATTCTTAAATAAACTGATGAATACACATTTTCAATTCCACATTTTCAAATGAAATAAATATCTCTATTGTAGATTCTTTACGTTAGTATGAAACCTTTGTTAACTTCTGTCAGAATTGTTTATTGCACAGAATACCTTCTGTTTTGGCTGAAGTCCGTCCACACCTATTGTGATAGTGATGCTCCTGTAATGATTGTTGGAACGCATCTGGATAGAGTTAAAGAACAGGTATTTTTTTTCAAATTATATAATGAATTGAACTACTTGAATAGGAATTATCATTTAGAAGATGAAACATTTACACTCCTTGGTTTTAAAGTCAAAACTCATCGCCATACTTCACTTAACTATTTCTGTAATACATATCTTGTAGAATTCTGATACGTTCTACAACAGAGTTTTGGATCAACTCCATTTCAACAAACATTTGAGAACACACTTGGACAGAACGAGATGCTTTGTTTTAGGATATCAGACAGATGGCGCATGTTGCAATGATTCACTCTCAGAACTGGAGAAGTGTATTGTTGCTATAGCCAAAGAAGATAAATGGAAGGAATCTGTCCCCACTGACTGGGCTCTGTGCGAAGTTGTTGTTCGAGAAAACAGAAGACGAGAAAGAAGAATGCTTTCGCGTAATGACTTATTAAGCAAATGTTTTGGTGAAAACAAAGAAAAATATGTTCAAATAGGAGATGTTTTAAAATTCTTTCATGACATCGGGGTTAGTCTTTACTTCGATGACACCAATCTGTCTGAAACGGTCATTATTGATATCCAGTGGTTTATAGATTCCTTCAAGAATGTCATTACTGACCCTAACCATGTTAGGGACATTGCAGAAAATTCAATTGATTGGGAGAATTTTAACAAAAGTGGTTTTATTCCTGACAGACTTTTAACTGGCATATGGAGTAATAGACATTTTAAAATGGATCTTTGGAACAGGAATCACGAAAAAAAAAACCTTCTCCAGTATATGCAGCGCCTTGGTCTGGTAGCTGTTGGAAATTATGCACACTACATTCCCTGCATGAACAAGCGTGCATTTGGAATTTCTGAGGAAAGATATTTTTTATCTCTACATAGCAAAACATCCGTATTAGTCTTTCGATTCCAATTTTTGCCGTGGTTTTTCTACTATCGTCTTATCGTTGCTTGTTTGACGAGGACCAATGGAGAATGGACGGTATTGGAAGACAATGGACTTTGTTTGTACAAAAACGTGGCTTGTTTTGCTTACAAAGAACACGTTGTGTCCCTAGCAGTTAACATTCTTCAATTCAGCTTCAAATTTTTCAACCCACCAACGTCCTTGTTACAAAAGAAGTTGCCCTGACTGTTCGGGATACTGTTGAAAGGCTATTGCAAGAACTCCTAGGGAATTTCCACAAGAAAATTGACATGTACACTGTTGGGTACCAATGTAGTAATCAGGAGATGTTTTGTGAACACGATGACTGCTTTGTTGAAGAGAAAGCTATTTACAAAAAAGGCAAAATAAGGTGCCCAAGACATGGTATGGTCAATCATCACATATTAAGTGAATCGGCTCTTCTTGTTTATTGGAAAAAGGTAAACAGCATTGTAAATGCTTTGTAATAAACATGTACAAGACTTGTATATGTATAATACACGTTTTCAATGAAAAAAAAATGAAAGCGAAAATATATGTTTTGCTAAATGGAAAGAATGCGTAAAAATAAATATATTTTTTTAAGATCACGTGAGATATATTAAATATTATATTATTATATTGTATTAATGAACGCATAATCAAAAAACAGTTATACATATTTGTCTCATTTTTCATCATTGATATTGCATATTCTTAAAAAAAAATTATTATCTTTATTTTTAGGATGTTATAGCTGAGATTTCAGGTATCTTAAAGGAATGCATATTAAAAGTTAAAAAATAAATAAAAAACGAGACATTGCTCTTAAAATTGTGTGTTTCTTAAGTTAAACTAATTTTAATCAGATTAGGATCTGTTTAAACGGAGATATCAGGTATCAAATATTGATTCAATTTGCATTCCAGTAAACATACTATACTATTTTTCCAAAAATAATTGATTTTAAATGATTTGTTGCTTCAGTTTTATAACTTTCTTGGTTTATAATATGCAATCAGATTTGGATGACATGACGGATCAAGATAAATGCACCCGTCTGTCCGAACTGGAATTGAAAAAAAGGAATTTCAAGTCGTTCGAAAAACTCACGAAGACAGGAAGAGACGCTTTGCAGCTCTATTTTGACAGAATATTTCCACCTGTAGACCTGGTTACAACCCTTGCTACAAACAAGGACAATTTACAACGTGGACAATATAAAATGAATCAAGATCAATGTACCCTGCTTTTTCCAGGTATTCTATAAATATAGAGGCGCCCAATATTCTCTTTACTTTTGTTTTGGACACATTTTGGACAGTATGTCAAAGGGATTGTACTTTACACAAAAATTCAAAACCTTATATTTTCCTCTCTTCACCTGTGTTTTTGTTTTTTGTTTTAAACAAAGCAGGGCGTAACTATTATACTTTCGACGCAGATATATCTGTAATGCTCGATCTTTCAGTCAAAAGTCGATGTTAAATAATTCTGATTTAGTTATAATCTTATGTAAAAGATATCATAACAAAGGGCAGTAGCATATATGAGCATATGCAGCAAATTGGCATATTTGATAAACCAAATTAATGTCATTTAATTTTATAGTTATTTTCATCTTATAATGCGATCATTATCTTCTTTCATATGTCTACACAGCTGACAAATCGATTCCCACCTCCTCCACATTTGATGTAACCATAATGTACAAGTTGTTGAGGAACTATGGTCCAAACCTTCTTCCATCAACCAATGGCTGGGGGAAGAAACCTGAAATAGGACAGAAGCTTCCCACCGATGACGTAGAAAGAATACGAATCTACAGGAATGAAGTGGAACATAAAACTCAGACAACCAACATCATGGAAAAGGATGACTTTGATCTGAAAAGGAGAGATCTTTCTCAGGTTAAACATCAATCTTGTCATCACTTGTTATTTAATAAACGTTTTAAGCGGTTTTTTTTTTCATTTCAATCTCACTAATGTGTGCTTTTTATATCATAACATACATGAATATGCACACCCAAAACTTATTGGAATTTTAACATCAACTGGTTAACAATAAAAGCTTTAGATTTACATTAAGCAGGTTAATTCATTGCAACCCCTATTGCAGCATCTCTAAACACTGAAAAGGCATGTAGAAGGCATAGAGAGAGGGGGGTCAAATTTGCCCGCACCTATAATTTTTATAAATACGGTATATGCTATAGTAGATTTCCATGTAGAGGCTAGTCATTGTAGCATTTCATTTCCGATAAGTAAAGTACTATCAAACTTCGAGATTTTAAAACACATATATTTAAAAATGTATAGAGAAAGGTCCATCCTAATCCCACCCAGTCATTCTTTCATTGAAAATAAGCTTATTGATCTATAACATTGTATTTTACAGGCAATACTGAGACTAAGTAATGGATCATTAAAACAAGAAATCATCTTCCTCAGACGACAGAGATAACACTTTATATATGACGTTCGTGGAGTTTATTTAACAATGCTCCCATAGTCTAAAAATCGAGTGAAAAAACTCATCAGCAGATCACAAATTTGAAATGATTGTGTTTCTCTTGAGACTAGATAGTAATTACGATCACAGTGATAAAAAATATTAGAAAGATAAAACTTTGGACATATTTCTATTTAGTGGAGTCACCGTTAGCAGACAATCAAAGTTGACTTCTTCATGAGAGTACTGATTTTTATACTGAGGGTGACCAAAGTAGTCCAGGAATACTGGTCCCCTACAAAAGTGATATTTCCATAGTACTTTTTGAATTTTCGATAACTGTATACGAAAGAAAGTTATGTCTTACATATAACGATTTGTAAATAAGTAGTGGAATACGTTGATTAATTAGCTTTTAATCTCATTTTTCGAAAAAAATCATGAACATAAAAAAGGAGCTGAATGATACCCATAACTGTTTTACTTAAATGTTCCAATTTGGAAACATAAGAAAAACGGTTAGTCACAGGGATCAATTTTAGGTCTACTTTTCTTTTTATTATACATTTATGATCTCCCGTTGTTCATTGAAAAATCAAGCATTGACTTTTTTGCCAATGATGCTACATGTACTCTACACATTTCTGACAATTACGTTTCTTCGATTCAATTTATGTATTCCTCCGATTTGAACAATATAGAAACATGGTGCTCTCAGAATCAGATGATTGTGAACACTATTAAAACAAAATGCATGTTGTTAGGCACAAATCAAAGACGGTCAAAACTGACGTGCCAAAATCTAAATTTACAAATTTCGGATCATTTTCTTAAAAGTGTTACACACAAGAAACTACTTGAAATTAATATTGATAATTCACTCAATTTTAATACAGATATCAATGATGTCTGTAAATTAGTATCTAGAAAGATATCTTTATGATGCAAAATTAAGAAATATCTTCCATTAAATACAAGAGAGTTATTATTCTATGATGCTTATGTAATACCATCAGTTGAATATTGTATAACAATATAGCGTCAACCTGAAGCCTTGACACGATTAATAAGTTACAGAAATGTGTAGCTTGCTGTATTCTAAATGCTGCGTGTGACACGCCATCAAAACCTTTATTTGAAAAAAAAACCTGATTGGCTGTCAGTACATGAACAATTGGCTGTAAATAAATTAGTGTTTTTGTATAAAATGCTTTAAGGTGCAAGTCCGAACAACCTTTCTGAAATGTTGAATTACCAATCATCCATTTCCTACCATATAAGATCTGAATCTTATTTTGACTTGTGCGTTCCAAAACACAAAACTAAAACATTTCCAAATTCTTTTCAACATTCGGGAGCAGTAATGTGGAATGTCTAACTCTTTAAAATTTCAGATTCAAAACAAGAAAATGTATAAAAGCCAACGATCAACTTGAATTTGAAAGAATGAGTGCACTTAAGGGGGACAACTATTACTTTATTGTGTGAAAACTAAAACAGCATCTTCATTTTTACATCATATATAGCTTACATTACCTTCAGTGAACATGCAATGTTTGGGAGAAATCTACCGTCCAGGTAATTTGAGGGACTATCTCAAAATACAGATACATTTACTATAGAATTATATAGGAAAATGCCAATTTTTAGCACTTTAAAGCAAATATACAAATACTACAATAGACATTTTGTTCAAACTATAATATTTGATGGGTAATACTATATTATACAATATATTTAAGAAACACAAAATTCTACCGTCTTGTTACCAAAGGGGGGATCTGAAATTCCAAAAAATTAGCAAATTTTACTATCTTTAAAGAGTATTACTAAATATGACATACACAATGGATTCATATCAAAACATAATAAAAATATTGGAGATATTCTCAAATTTCTATGTTTTAAATTTCAAGAGCGTACGTTTATTACTTTTTCTTCAATACTATTTTTATTACCCCTTTCTTTAAGAGCTATAGATTATCATAACGTCAAAAACACACTGCAACGACGTCAACCTACCTATCAATTGCAAAATCCGTTGAAAAATCAGTTATATCAAATTGTACTTACATTTTCATACCTATGATTTCTTCATTTTGTTTAATTTGAATTATTAAGCGTAAAAAAGTTGCATTAAAACAGTAAATACGCTTCATTTTACTATGATGCGCGAAATATTGGCCAATGGAAACTATAGTCGGCCTCCTTAAGCTATGAGAGTTGGATGCCGATGTTTTGCGCAAAATAAAATTAAAAAAATCATTAAATTTTTGTTTAATATGTATTAAACAATATCTTAAGAGCAGGTTTTGCTGTATCATATTGCATGATGGTATTAAAATTCTTTCGAGTCCTATCGTTTGTTTATCCTATCGTATCGTGGCCGTCTTTTGCGTGTTGTACTTGTATTCTATTAAAAGTATGTGATCGTCTCGTGTCTTTTGTTTTTCAGGTGTTGCCTTTTCTAATGTGTTCTGCAATTGTCAGGTTTTGTGTTTATTGTGTCAATTCAACCCTACTTATTTTTTATCTTTACTATGGAAAGAAATACAGCGTAGATACTTCAAGTTTTGTTTGTTTATTGACTCATTTACGATTACTTCATCTGAATAGACGAAAAGAAATTATTGCACCTAATCTCTGGACTTTCATTGGATGACATGACCGCAGAGCGAAAAGTTGAAAAATATGATTGATTGATTGTATATTGTTTAACGTCTCTCTCGAGAATTTTTCACTGATATGGAGACGTCACCGTATGCCGGTGAAGGGCTTCAAATTTTGACCTTTACTCGACATTCAAGGCCATTGAGCAGTTAGGGATCTTTATCGTGCCAATGCCTGCCGCTGACACGGGGCTTCGGTTTTGAAGGTCTCATCCGAAGGACCCGCACATTTCACTTCAAATGCCAAGCGCATAGCGAAAGAACAGTTGCTACCAATTTTAACGACTAGGTCAGTCGCGGCCGAGATACGAACTCACGACCTCCCGATCACGGAGCGAGCGCTCTATCGACTGAGCTACAGTAAACGGTAAATTGAAAAATAAGATACATGAAATAAATGAAGGAAAAATAAATAATTGAGCAATATAGTAGATTAAGCTTTCAGTAATGAGGACATCTATAAATTCCATTACTGAAATGTAATAACAAGTCTAAAACCTTTTTATCAAATTGTCAAATGTGTAAGTCGTTTTTAAAACTATATGTTTTTCTTGCGAAAAATGATGCAAACGTTGATATATACGACTATTTCTAAGGATTCACTTTCTAGTTTGTTGGGAAAGCCAGTGTATCTACAAAAGCTGGAAACATGGGATAATCTTGCCCATCGAGCAAATTATACTACGTTTCCAAATGTTGTTGATGTCCATGGGAAATACTCAACTAATCAAAAAAATTATTCCTCATATTTACATTTAATTGTTGACGTTTCCATTTGAGTGAAAAAAGGAGAGAGACGTAAAACATAAAACATACTCAAGATATGAATTGTGAAATAAATTTATAAATATGGATTTTAAAACGTTGTCAAATAGATTTATAGTCCACGAAGATTTCAATGTCAGTAAAAGTTTCCGTCTACTGTCATCAGACACAAAGAAGTTGCGCGATATTTATATATTTTATCTCCTACGCTCTTGGCCTTTTGCTCGGCGTTACATTCTGATAAAATTATCAAGAAACCAACTTATAAAAGAGTGAAAGCCTTGTCAGCTTTATTTATTATTTTATTTTGAAAATATTTTTCACTAAGAAAAATGTACAAAGAGAATTTATAATTATATACACAAAAATGATATAATTCCTACAGCAATTCCAAAATGGAATCAAGACTTATCTCTCTTTGGAGTCACAGATATTTGTATAAATTAAAGATGTTTCTAAAGTTTGTTTTAAGACTACTTCTGATTCTTCTGTACAGTGGTTACGATATAGAATTTTACATAGGATCCTCTCTGTACATTCTTATCTTAAGAAAACCAATATAAAAACTACTGATGTTTGTAAGTTTTGTTCCCAAGAAACTGAAACTGTACTGCATGTATTTGTTTATTGTGACCAATAAATATTATTTTAGGTGAATTACCACTTACTAAGGTTAATAGAATTGAATACTTTATGATATTATACAAAAAACTAAATATTTTTCCTTGTTTATTGCAACCAAAAATACCTTAACTTTTTGGTTTAATAAGTTATTTGAAAATAAAAAAACAATATTGAAAAATACATTTCTATCAATAATTCAAATCTACATTATTTTGAAGAACAATGAATTCTTTCGAAAAATATATTTGAACAAATGTAAGATTATATATTTGATGTTTGTTAAATTAGTTTGCATGATAGAGACAACTGATAATTATATAGGAACCTTATATTAATTTAAAATTTTAATGGATGTATGGATGAGTGTATGATTGTTTCATATCCATTGTTATTTTGCTGTTATTTTAAATTGATTCTGTCTGTAATACAATGGATAATAAAAATATGAAAAAAAACTAATCAAAGAGTTATCACAGAAAAAAGGATAAAAATATGAAAGCATTGCTTAAACAAACATTTGAATAATGTTTATTTGTCCTCTCCCGATTTGGTCTAAAATTATTTGGTAACTAAGTAAAATATTTTTATTGCCACAATTGTTCAATTACATTTTAATCTTTTAAATACTATTTTCCATAGTGTATAAAAAACCAAATAAGCTTCCTATGGGTTAATTATTTAGCCAATCGATTGGGAAAGGTCAACCAAGTATTCATTAAAGATGGCCTAAGATTTAAAAAAAAGAATTGTTAAATTGCACGTTGAATATTTTGATGGTCAATTACATTACATATAGAATTTATTTAGAAGATTGCATCAGATTCTCAACATTTAAATACCCTAATGGTTCTTGATTTTATGTATAAAGTATAGGATATGCCCGTTTAATTAATTGATTAATTAGGACACTTCCATAACTTTTTTTCAATAACGATATACAAATATATTACAGTATAACTTTTCTTTACAATATACAAAAAGTACATAAATATATTAGTAAAATGGGCATCACAAACACGTTAATTGATTTCATTTTCTAATTATGTGAAAAACTTGATAATTTTCTGTGACGTCATAGAAAACATCCCCATATAAATAAGACCTTTCGCTTTTTCTCTTTATCGTAGCTTAAACTGTGCGGTGTACTATCTGACATATTTTCTTTAATTGTGTGATATATATTAGGCTCAAAGCATGCATTTTTAAAGCATTCTCAGATAAAATAGAAATGTGTTTATATCTTTGATTGTCATGTTCGCACAATCATTTAAAGTCTTGACATCAAGTTAGTCAGAAATCATCATAAAATGATCACGGAAACATGTACATACATTT